TGATAAGGGAAGAATTGATTTGTTTCATATCATGGTTTGCAGTTTCTTTACGCAAGACCTCGGTGTTCCCGTGTCTCCCTATACCTTTTTATTAGTATATTCTTTCTACAAATTCGCAGATGGGTACATAAAAGAAAACATGTAACAGTTACGAACATACAAGTGGCTGGTTGTATCTAAATATCTTTTAAATCATTGCGTGCGCTTAGCCCAGTTTATAACATGTTATAGGGCTGATAAAAACCTGTCAACGAAATTAATCCAGTTACTTTCGCACGCACAAAACGGACAGTGTCTTTTGCATCAAAAAACAGTTTTGCCCAAATAAGTAACAGTGACTAATAAAATTCAGTACACTCTTCTTTTTTATAAAAATATGTTTTATAAGAGAATCGAGGCTGAAATTTGCGAGATTTTAAGAAGTTTCCAAGAAGAAACCCGAGGCTGAGATTTTGAAAAGAATATAATTTTGCTTGTTGAAAATTTGTAAATACAATACGATTACTTGTAAAATACAATACGATTACTTGTAAAATTCTTCCTTTCTCTAAACGGCAGAACTAGCCAAAAAGGAATTAAAACAGCACTAGCCCGTGTAACATTTCTGCAAGACGTTGTGTGTGTGATATCAGGTTTAAATACATTCGAAAACAGAAATGTCATATGCTGTAATCTAAGAATATTTACAAGAATATTTTCAGCCTAAAATCGGCAGAAAAATAAGAATATTCATCCTCGGCCGGAAAAACAATATTCTTATATAAAACAGTGTGTGTATCATGTTAAATTCAGTGGCGAGTTGACGTTGCGGAGCTTCAAGCTTCCCTAATGGTATTGAAATTTTAATTCCCCTTATTAATAACTGCAAATTTCCTGTAAGGGGTAGTCGATCAGGACACTTGTAATGTAGGGAAAGATTTTCGTTATATCACATGAGGTGTTCCCCTGAGAAGTCTAGATGGTTGATTTTTGATAGTGGATACAGGCTCCTGCAAGTTCCCTACAATGTTGAAGTTATTAAGAAGCCTTCCATTTCAAATCCTTTCCGGCGACATTCAGTCGTCTGAATTACAAGAAACCTAAAAGATATGATGGAAGATGGAAAACTGTGGCGTTAAAACACACTAAAACATCATTCAATCCGACCTTTTGCCATAGAAAGAAACGGAAAAGAAAGAAAAAAAAATCTGAACGCTCCTGTCTAGACAGAAGAACTCATTTTACGTTTTATAACAAAGATTATAGCTTTAGAAATGGAGACCAAACAAAGCTTTATCACATGTTTCAACCGTGCACTACCACCTACCAGCCAAAGCCGCTAGCTGCAGGGCTCAATTTAATGTTTACTTTTCATCCTTCCAGGATTTGACCCTGGTCGCAAAACTGTAAAGACTGTAAACTGTTTGGTCTTCAATACTTCGCACTGACCCACTTGATAACTTGAAAAATCGCTAGTCACGACTGACAAATTTAGTTACAGTTGCTATATCATGGCTGTGAATCTTCTCGTGGCAATAATCCCTACTTAAATAGTTTAAAACCAGAGACATGCCAAGGATTAGGACTTTGCTTGAACTCAGTTCGTTGATTTTATGGCTGATCTCAGCAGGTGTAGCGATTAAATGGGGATCGTAGCGTTCGTTACTACCGCTCAACAATCGGCTGGTCTTTTTGCTTGTGTTTATTTTATTAGTACAAGACAGTGAAAGCTTTATTAGCTGTAACCCAACGTGCACAAGATAAAAGGCAAAAGTGAGTCACAGACAGAACTTATCTAGCGGTTTCTTTCTTGGCAGTACTTCAGTTAGTATTTCTAAATTCGAGTAAAATTGTCCGTGACTGAGCAAATTCAGTGTGTCAAGTTTATAAAACCGGAAACTTTGAATGAAATTTAAGTATTTTTATGTAAAACGTGCAACGTCACCGACGGCGAAATTTTCAAGTTTTTCGTTCGTAATCCTTTCTAATCTACCTTACTTGTATTCATCCTTGTTTATTTTCGGTTCATTAGTACTTCCTCTGTGTTTTTCTAAGACTATCATTTTAAAACGTGTTTTGAAGTTTAAGTTGGTTCTTCCTCATATTCAGTTTTCGACACTCTCAATCTCTCCGACCCTGATACAGGGTGACTTCAGAATAATAGATTAACCACATCCTTGATTGAAATACGAGCTACGATTCTTTGCAATGAGCTTAAAACTGCCAGGACACTGAACAAAAGTTAGCCAAAATGGACTCAGTTTTAAGGTGAATTGTTACACCACGATTAGTTCATGGAATGAACTTTTCACTCTATCTGGATAACACTCTTAAAGTTCCGAGTATCACTAGTTTTTGGATTTGCGCAGCCCGGGTAGCGCAGCCGGAGAACTTTGACCAATTCTTTTTGCGCAACTTCCTAAAGGGAAATCAATCAAGGAAGCGAATCCAGCAATCGGCCGCGTGTTGACGGAGAAGCACCTCAAATATCTGCTGACTCACAGGACCTCATGGGTCTCAGAAAAAATCCTGATTACCTGCCGGTCTGGAGTGAAGTTTGGACAGACTAATTCTTGGTCGGAAATCAAGTTCCACCACCAACTGTTATATGGCAGCGTGGGAGATTGTTCACTGAAAATTTTCGAACTCTTACACGTTTGCTGTTCAGAAGTGATTGGACAGATTCACCTTAAAAATTTGAGGATAAGGATGTACTTCACGATATTGAGAACTGTTTTCTATTGAAACCTGATGTTAACTTTAAGATGTTAACTTTATCAAAAAAACAAAAAAAACAAAAAAAACAAAAATGCCGAGCTATCCGCTTAGGTTGTTAAAGATTTTCATCTCTGCCTTCATGTGATCTTGGGTTTTTTTTTCGAGGAGTGCATAGGTTATTTATGCCCAAGGCTACACACCAAAATTATCAGTGATGTTTTGACCCACTGTTGAGAATTTGGAGCAAGTTGTTTCAGAACCTGTTTGTTTTTTTGCTGATATCAGCAATTTGAAAAAGCTTGTTTGAAATTCCTGCGGTTGACTTTTCAAAATCGACACTCTCACGTTCTCAGTCGAATGGTTGTTATCATTTCTGATTTTCATTCACTACAACTTCTTGAATTACAAAAATGGAGTCTCATGAAAGGATATACGAATAAGTATTTACTCGGGATCCCGGAAATACGCATTTTCACAATTTTATAACCGGATTATCCAATTTACCAAAGTTATGCCCCTTTCTCGACTCTTATTAGGCAATTTTCATGCGATGTACCCAGTGGAAGAAACACGTACGAGGCGTCTAAAACCATGTTGGAATAAGACTAGAATTCGGGGCGTGTTTTATGCTTCTTTTATGTCTGGATTTCCGTAGCCGTGAGGGATAAGGTCAACGATCTGATCCAGCTATTACCGTAAGACGGGCTTTCAAGGCGCAGGAAAAACAGATCAAAGTTGTATGAGAAAACAAAGCAGGAGCAGAAAGGAAGTCATAAGCCTATAATCAGACGAATTTCCGGGTAAATCCTGAATGAAAATATATGACGTAAGTAATAGGACGATCTCGTGTCCGCGCGCTCGACCACCGCGGCGAAATTTGTTTTTCATCACTGAAAAAGCTATGTCGTCACTTTTGTTTCTTTCGTGAGGAACGCGTATTTTTTCTCGTTTGCGTTCCCAGAGAATGCACGCAAGAGGCTTAAAATAACGACAGTTTCGCATTCGACGAATGCTTGCTTTCAACATCGATGGAATGGAAAAGGGAAGAAAACATTCAGCCAATGAGATTAACCGGCGGGGGAATGGAGGGATGTACAATTTCAGTATCTTTAGTGAATTACGCTTTTGTTGTATACAAATGGAGTTTCAATGCCAAAAAGCAGCAATAAAAATAATGTTATTTCCTATCTTTCTTCAACATGAGGTTGACTTTTAACGCTACTTACACAAACAGGATGAAAATTGCGTTGCTTGTGATCCTGAAGAAAAGTTAGAGAGCGTCACCTTCCCCCCCCCCCCCTGCTCAAATACACAATGTACAAGCTGTTAGCGCCACAGGAGGAACCCGTTATTCTGCATTGTTTGCGTTTGAAGCACTTCTGGAATAAACTAACAAGACGCTGTCTACCTTCCACGTGGGCAGCACAGTTTGGTTACGCAACCATCCCCCTCGTCATCATCATCATCATCATCAATTGTGCAGGATTTTCCAGAAAGCACAAATGTTAATTTTTATGACCAAGATTCCTTCGCTAAAGAGCAGATTTTATCAACCCTGGGTATTTGTCAGCTCTTATAAATATTTTTGATCACTTGAAATGTTTTGCACTTGCACAGTGCGCTCAGGTTTCTGTCACACACGTTCACGAGCTAAAAATATCAGCTGGTGACCGTTTGACCAGTTGACCTCGCGGGAATATTTTCCTTTCTATTCCACCGCGAGACAGCCCGCCCTAATCTCGTCCGAATCAGTGATCTTTGTACCGTTATTAAAAAACTCGGTTTTCAGTCAATGAAACATGACTACGAAACTTGTTTTGGAAATCTGGCGTTGCTTGAAGACGCCATGCTCAGAAAACCAGACAACATGTTCCTAACATGCACACTTGTTGGTGGTTTTAGATATTTGTAGTCATAATAGTCTCTCTGCAGCAGCTGTGGGAGGTTTCTCCTTCGCTTTTCTTTTGGCAAGTTTTGTAGGTAATAATAATGGAAGTAAGATATCGTGTCTTCAGCGCGGATTTTGGACTCCTGTTGTTGACATAGTAATGTCATTTAATCGTTATCTAACGTTGTCGGCATCAGTGCAAACTGCTTTGTTATTGGCTCATCTGTTGTAAGCACTATCGAACTTTGCCTCACATTTATAGTATCGTGTCTTAGATTGGACAATTTCTACATGATTGTTTCTAACCTAGACTCCGATTGGTCGGCTCTTTTCCGGCTGTCACTCAAATCAGTTGGAGTTAATTGATATGGTCAGTTGACCTTTTGTTCTCCCCGGGACGAAAGGAGTGGCAGACTACAAAAGAAATTTTCTACTTGCAAGACCTCCAGTCGCACCTCGGATCTTCAACGCGAAATGAGATCCTTAATATTCGTGTTGTTGGCCACTGGGACATTAGCGGGTACGTATTATCGATTTCTTTTCTCCCCAAAAGCGCTTTTCATCGCAGTCATGTCAGTATTTCTCCTAATAAACTCCACTCTGTTTCAGAATTTTTTTTCGTAGTGCCCGGTTTCAGCATCTTCCGGCGCGATTGCCTTCGATTTGAAAATTTTACCTTTCTCGAAGATAAAATCGCCGTTTGCTCCCTAGTTCCTGTTGTCTCCCAGACCAGACAACTATAACTCTTGCAAACGTTTCAATGCTGTCAAATTGTCAAAAACTATAATGACGCTGAGACTAGTTCAGTTGAAGCAATGTGCCAGGACAGCTTTCACGAAGGCATCTAAATCCCTGGAGAGCAATTCTGTGTTCGATTGGTTGGACTGGCTTCGAAAATAGAACAGTCTGTATTCAGGGGAGTTCCGTATTTTTACCTCAGAGTGGAGCTCGAAAAACCTCGAGTAGATTTTTCCTTCGGCGTTTTACGACGCCAGACATCGCTACCTTGAGGAATTTTCTTGAAGGTTATTGTAACCGCACGCGGGGTTCACGAGAACTGATTGACGTTAAGCCAAAGTAGCTTGTGGTGCGGAATTGGAAAAAAAAATTCCTGATAATAAGTTTATTTTTGGTTTATCTTGTTTTTGTACTGCTGCATTGTTCATCGTCCAATCTGTTTTCAGTTATGTCAGAGATCAACATTGCTTTGCTGGTTGCTTTGAGATCTGTAAATTTGAGGGTGTTGTACTAACCTTTTTAATTTTATCTGCAGCGCCCGTGTCAAAAGAGAGACATCGGCCGCCAAATTGTGACACAAGTAAGTATCAAACTTATTTTCTGTTCGTGCGGTCATGATATTATTGATGTAAGGCACTTGAAGGACATATATAAAAAATGTAACCTCGAACAACAGTGCAAGTTGCCCATGAAGCAATTTTATCTTGCATTATATCGTATTAATGTTTACTTTATAAACAAGTCAGTATTTATCTTTCCTTGGGAGGATTTGTGTGGCATTATCACTGTAGATTTTTTTTTTGACCGGAGATTGCGACCCCCCATGATATAAGTAATATCCCATTTAGAACTGGCGGATTGCCACGGGTCAGTCTTTGACTATACTTTTCTCAACTGTAAAAAGGTCTTATTTATGTGTTATTACTCCTGGCTTTGAAATAACCACCCCAGTGATGTTTTTCGCTGTGTTGCGTTTCCGTATTGCACAAGTTTCAATCACGGGATCCTCTTCACAGTTCACATCGCGCAAGCGAGAGCAAATTTTGGAAATGACGTCAAATTTCCGAGGGACTTGCTGACAAACACATCCTCGCGCGTACGACGCAAAGCAGTTCGTTGATTGGATTAAAAAGCGCGGGGAGCACGCGCGCGAGAGCACAAACAGTCACACTGGCACGTGTCGGGTGTTACACGGTTAACGTTTTCCCTTTATCTTTTGTTCGCAGAGTTCAATAGATTTCACCATTCGAAAGATTTTACTTACAACTATGAAGGAGAAACCGTGAGCAGTGTAGCCGGAGCTTCGTCAGCCCGTTCAGGGTTAAGAATCCGCGCACGTTGTGTCGTCAAGGCTGTTGGACCATGTCAGCACGTCTTGAAGGTAAGACAAACTTCTTATGGACTCCTGGAGAACTTTGATATTGAATGACATGTCGCGGCTTTCAAGTTGTTATGTTTATTTAAAATACTTCCTCGTATAAAACATTCTGTGACAAGCTACGACCACCATACTCGATTGACCACTTCAAATATTTGGGTTTTTCGCGTGGGTTTTGTAAATATTGCATATTGTTTTGGTTTCGTGTGTAGAGGTGGACTAATCTAGTTATGGGGTACAATGTCCCCTTATCCCGTGAACAGAGCTTATTGTTATTTCCTGCCGTTTGAATTTACCAACACGTATAGCTAACAAAATATCAAAACCTTAGTTCACTTTCGTTCGATAGATTTCGTTTCGTTTTCTATAGCCAAGCTATTGCCTTTGCTCTAGATGCTAAAGCAATATTTCTAGGCCAGAATAAAGGACAACCCGTGGGATATACAACAGCCCGGGTAATGCGGCTGATTGCGTAGTCTGAAATACTTGCGTTTTATTAATAATTTCGTATGAATTGTTTATTCTGACAAATTGGTACAAAACAATCTAAACGTTCTTCTTGACTGAAAGTACAAAACGAAGCTTTAATGCGGCGTTGACACAATGGACTAAACCCTTGCTTTGCCTCCTTTTCTCTTCACTTCCTGCCCCTGGGATATCTTATTCGACGCCCTTACCCTCCCATGACCCTCCCCCGTTCCTCCCTCATAAATTCTAAGAAGTTGAAAGTATTTAGCACCTCAGACACGAATAGTGATGGCAACTACAGAACGAAGCTCAATTGCTTTAGGCACACAGTGTGTTAACCCCCTGTTTTGTCCAATTTCTTGCCCTTTTACTATTTATTCCGGCCCCCAAATCTTCCCCTCTCCGTTCCCCATAAACACAACTGAAAGCAATTATCTCCCCTGAGACAAACATTCCAGCGTATCAGGTTTGTCCAAAGGTTACATAACTAAACTTGGAGTAATTGCCACTGAATGAAAAACCGATTCAAATCATTTTAAAGCCCTAAAGGATAGTCCAAAGGTTACGTAACCAAACTTGGCGCAACTTGCTACTGAATGAAAGACCGATACAAATCATTTTAAGCTTCAAATGTTTCAAATTCTTTCACGGTTCTCTTAAAATAAATATGAAGATTGCTTAGGACAGATAGTCAGTAATGCACAAACTTGATTCGAGTTTTGTTCTTCTCTAAGTTATAGCTAATCAAGGCAATTGTCGTGTTTTGCTTCAATACTCAAAAGACGGGTTACCTTCGATGTTTATATAAGTAAAGATGGGTGTTCTTGTGGGAGGGGTCTCCGTAAACGCAACAGCAATAAACAGCGATGTTATAATGCGCTTTACGAGATCGAGAAGGAAAGATGTCAGCTTAAAGACTTTGTTTTCGTCATCTGTTTTTACGTTTAAATTAAACTTTTTATCAGTGCAAACTTCGGTTCGCTACGCAACGAAACGAAACGAAAGTTTCTGCCCCTCAACCTGTAGTTTCAACATAATGTTTTTTTACATAAAACATCGAAGGCGACTTAGTTCAGCGGACTAACCCAGCAGGACAGCTTTGCTTGGTGCAAATTATTTCCGGTGCATGTTTCTAAAAAAAGCTTTTCGTAATGAAAACCTTAGTGTAAGTAAGACATCTCAATTTCATTCAAGTTAAGGTCAAGACCCCTTTCGTGGTTTTATCCGACGAAAGGAAAATCCCTGCATGCAACTGAATCCACGGAAAGCGGTTTGCTGCACGTCTGTATTTTGACCTCGGAAAATCACAAGGCTAAAGAAAAATGCTTGCTGTGTTTTACCGCAGCACGAAACCCGCGGAAAACGTGGCGAAAAAGTCAAAATACAATCGATGCCATTCGTAATATTTATTACACATTAGACCACCTCGAAGGCATTTGGCTAGTAAGGAAACAACTTAAACACAGCTGGAAAGAAGAGTGTATTAACTGTTGGTCGAGTTCCCAAAATAGAAACAATTGCTAGGTTCTTTAAGGTTTCTGTGAAACAGGGATTGGAGAATTTAAATCTCATTTTTCCTAGCTTAAATTCTGCTCAAATCCCACTTCCCTGTCCCAGTAACCCTAATTCCATTGTCCAGTGGAGAATTGGCATTCCCATTTCCCATTTTAGCCCTCAAGCCCCCCTTCGTACAGATCTAGACTGGAGGTGTGGCAATCTAGAAACTAGTTTTCCAAACATGAAAAGATGAAGTCTTAACAAGTCGGGAAAAACTCTAAGGTTTACTCCAAATTCCAAGGTCTTCGATTGCTAACAAGAAATCATTCTCAGCTTGTCGAATTTCATGTAACTTTCATCTTTGCGCTTGGTAAAGGGGTGGAAATGTCCTGAATTTTGCGTAAAAAAATGTGTACGAACCCCGAAGAAAACAAGCAAACAATTCTTGTTTTGTGACGTTTGTTTCTCATTGAGCAATTTTGTTTGGAAATATCACCATGCTCTGTTAAGAAAGATTTTTCCAGAAGCCATTTCTTCCCACCAAAAACATACTGAAACCAGGAAAATCACTTGAAAGAAGACTAAATATTGAAAGAGATTCTGTTCGTTAGGAGCGCTTTCTTACCAATACCCATCATCAACGCATACAAACAACACACACAACTCATTTGTTGAAGCTTACACCTTTTTGTTGCCTCAAACAGTCAGAAAATATTATTCACGTTAAATAATTCGTATAAATTTGAACTGAATGGAAAGAACCATAGCTAGCTGGGTTTTATTTTCAAAGATTATTAAAATCGTTGTTGTTCCCTAAATTCCGACCTTGTTCTATGACACGTATGCAAAACACCCTTTCATTCAAATTCATCAATGTAGAATTTTTTTTCCAGATTCTTAAGTAATCATAGAAAAGCAGATTCTAGTGAGTGGCTGATTCCTTTGACCCTACTTTCCCGACTGTTAGCTTTTATATTTTTTTAACACGTTCAACCTTTCGTCGGTTCTTATGCTGATGCGACATATGGCCGCGAAGAAAACCGGTTTATTCTACAAGTGAATATTAACTTGTCATACCCGTTTGTCTTGCAGATCGACCAAGTTGAGCTCTGGGAAGCCCAGAGCAAGAACCCCGGTCCCCTGGGATATCAACTGTCCCAGGGAACCACAGCATTTGCTGAAGAGCTTCAAGCTCAAGACCTTGTTTTCAGAACAAACGGTGGACTTATCACCGACGTCCTCGCCCATCCAGAGGACCCATCTCACGTGTTGAACATCAAGAGGGGCATTCTTAGCGCGCTGCAAGTGCAGTTTGTTGATGAGCATGCCACCTTGGAGGAGGTGAGATCTTCATACAGAACTTTTTTATTTCACTTTTCCACTTTTATTATAACCTTTTTTGTGATGTTCAAAAACGTCTTAAACAGAACCTGGAAACTACAGGAAAGGTGAAATTGTGTAAACAGAAAACATATACACACACGAAAGCGCTATACACTTTCGCCGAGATCACCCTCTCTTGTCCCTTTATAACATTATTTAAATAGCTTTGAAAGTAAACAAAAAACACTAGATTCACAAGAAGATTTAGTGCCAATGTCCGGAATTATTATTTGTTTGGTAGAACTTTTTTTTATTTAGAACTTACATCATAATACGCGCGCTCTGATTGGTCGAGAGGTTGTTTTGCTTTGGAATAATATCAAATCATTAACACGTGCTTTGTCGCTTGCGTGGGACTATGTAAACATGGTCTCTTAGCAACGGTTTTGTGGGATGTAACGCAACGCTTTTCTTTCACATAGCGTGACGACCCAAAGGCGAAAAATATGAACACGGTTATGCTATGTTATACAACAGGAATGGAAAGTTCATGTACCTTTCGTATATTCACTTGTGTACAAACAATGATCTTGATGTTTCCGGCATTAAATTCTCATAACTAGCAAGGGTGAAATGTAGCCGAACCGTACGGAGAATTGATCTTTTGACTCTCGTTATCTGTTTTGATTTGCAGGACGACGTTGTTGGCAAATGCAAGGTGCATTACGAAGTTAAATCTCGTCACCTCAGCAGACGCCCAAAGGTTGTCTACAAGACCAGGAATCTAACCGAGTGCACAGACCGCGCTCAGTCAGACATCGGCATCCATGTTCACTCTTACGAAGAGAAGGTAGGAACCGACAGAAGTAACATAATGGGAGGGGGAGGGAGAAGGGTTGTATGATAAAGGCATGGGGGGTAATGGAGAGGTTCAGCCAGCGTTTTTACGGGGGATAAAAAAGGTAATTTCACCTTTCATACAGTTCTTGCTATTATGACTTACAACGTCTTCGGATCAATTCATGGCGATCTAAAGAGTTGTAGTGTATATCGCGATGTCACGCAATATGCAATATCTCGTTGGATGTCACGCAAGGGTTAAATAGTTTTCATATATTACATTGTTGATTGTCACGCGGTCACTGGATGGAAACGGCGAGTTTTAAGTGAAACATTTTAAAGTTTATTTACTTTCCACAATTGTACTTTGCAAGTCATTTTAAGGAGTGAAATATGTGGTTAAGAATATCAAACTGGGAAACGACACGAGTTTTTAGTGATGTATTTTTTAGTTGATTCATTTCTCACAATTGTACATTAACAAATCATTTTGAAAAATTAAACTACAAAATAATGTGAAGAATGCGGTTGAAATATCAAACAACGGCGGGAAACGATAAGTCGTGGTTGCTTAACATTGTGGTCTGTTTCTGTTCACAGCCTTTAAGCCTGCTGAGTTCCCACAGCACATGTAGGCTCCTTTTGACGGCCAAGAAACGTACCCAGCAGGTCTTGTGTCAGGAAGAACATATTTTCAGACCTTTTTCCGCGGGCTACAAAAACAAGTCTGGAGCAATCACCAAGACAAGGTAGGAACTACATTTTTAATTGCTTGGCGTGTGTTTTCGCTCGTTAAGCCTTCTTTCAATCAAAGAAGCAATGCTTGCTTTGAATCATAGGACAGCTCGATTACCTAGCTATCAATTTGAATACAGTGAGTCGACAAGTTCATCTTGTTTTTCACGTCGCTAATTTCCCTTTTTTTGTCTCAGGCAAAAGTTGGAACTGCAGTCTATCACGCCATCTGAAAGTGAACCTGTTGTTGCAGGTATGTGTTTGGCCTCCATCACACTTTTATATGGTTTTGCGCTATTAACTAGTCTCTCATTTCGTAATCATATAACTTTTTTATGAGATAGAAACGTCCTCCTATTTAATGAAGGAAAAGCTAGACTAGTTATACAAGTTGAAAAAGAGTTAAAATCGCAGTCTCACTGTGTCTTGAGAAAGATGTCTTTTTGTAATTTACTTCTCTGACTATATCGGATTTGTAAAATATAAAGGCGTAACAGTTATGTTCATGTAGTCTTAGGACATCAGGTGACTTACTTGTCTGAGGAAATCACCTGACAGGTGCGAACTAACGACCTACGACGTTAGTTTTTTTCAGAGTTAATTTCGTAGTAGCTCGGTTTACTTTGGACAACACCTTCTTTGTTTCTGCCCATTCAGTAACTTGTTAGGTTCTGACATTGTTTATCCTGCAAATGCCTTTAATAGCATTGATGGAATTGATCGTAAACTGTGTTTGTTTGTTTTCAGAGGAATTAAGGCCTGTGTCGTTGAAGTACGCACACGCTCAACCCCAATCTAACCAGAAAGCCATCAACGATGCCTTCTACTTATTAACCCGTCTGAGTAAGGACTCGAAACAATCAACCAAACCTGACTCGGCCCAGCACTTCTCAGACCTCGTGTTCAAGATCCGTAAGCTTAACACACCAGCAATGGAGTCATTGTGGCAGAAGGTCCATAACGAGGAAGACAACAAAATGCAGTAAGTGGTTTTACAGCTTTGCAAGCTAACTAACTAAATACCACTACCTAAATGTACTGCTCAATGGCTTTCATTTGACTGGTCATACACTAGGGTTCCATCCACAAGCTTATTAGATAGAACCACCTTGTGCAACATTATAGGGAGTTTTAGCAAACCACGACGGCGACGGCGACGGCGACGAGAGTGTCACCAAACAATTAGCAGAACAATGGCTGTGCACGTGCATTTTGAATCTTGGTACATTTCTTTGCCGTCCTCTGCAAAACAACAACGTGAAATGACTAATTTCTACGTATTTTGGAGAACGCGAACCGCAATGGCTAATATTTCGTATATTCTTTTGGAATTGAACGATGTCGGTGCATGTTTAGCCTGAGAAAGTTTTTAGACCGATAGGCGTACTGAACTGATTTACACAGTTGCGATATTCGAAGGTAAAATATTAATTAATTTTTTACAAGGCGTCATCGCCGCCGTCGCCGCCGTCATCGCTAAAACTCCCTATTAAACAGTAGCAACTGAAAGAACTGCTTGATAGTTTCATTTGAATGGTCACAAAGTAGGCTGTCATCTTCAGATTTCAAAGTTAGAACCCGTTTGTGCAGCATAATAAACAGTACCACATGAAAGTACTGCTCAGTAGCTTTTATTTGAATGATCATGCACTAGGCTTCTATCCTCATCTCAAGTTAGAACCACCTTGTACAGCGTAATGAATGTCTACAGAACCACCTTGCACAGCCAGTTTAAAGGTCAAAATGCTAACCTCCCGTTTCTGGTATTTTTTCCCCTTTCAGTGAGTATTTCTACGACGCTCTGCCTCACTGCGGCAACGGCGGATGTGCTAAAGTCATGAGCCATGCCATTAGAAACGATCTGGTCAGCCATGAACGTGGAAACATGTTCTTGGCAGGCTTGGCCATGGCAGCAAATCCCTCCAAGGAGACTGTTAGACATGTACTGGAGCTTTGTGAAGAGCATCCTGGCAGAACCGCCATGTTGACTCTCGGAACACTCATTCACAAAGTTTGCGAGAACAGCCCACAGGAGTGCAATGATGAGGTATAGTTTTAACAACTATTTTAAACGCTTCTTTTCAGTTCAAAGAGAACTTAAAACAGCGTCAAGAGAACTTGACGCTTTAGAGGATGGAGATAAATGGTCAGACACATTCTACCAAGTACTATACGAAATGTAAAGAAGTTGGTTGGACGAGAGAAAATGTATGTTTATAACAGAGCCAATTCTGCCAACTACTACTATACGAAATCTATGGAGACTGGTGATAGTTTATACTTTGACTGGGTAATTTAATGGATAACTGAAGGACTACGGGCAGAAAAAGTTAGAAAGACATCCAGGTAATGATGTCTTGGTTTCATCCCTGACATGATACCATGAAAAACGTTATTGCATAAATTTTGATTAGGAAACCAGTAGATGGTACTTTTTCTGGCGTTCTGGTTGTCTTACTTAACTTGTATTATACTGGGCTCTTCATTAATATTGTATCTAGCAGCCTTCAATAGTGAAATAAGGTATTTTGCTCTTTTTTCTCCGTCAGGATGAAGAGAACCCGATCACCAAGGCAGAAAACTTCTTGCTGTCTCGCTTGAACACAAAATGCAAAGGCAAAACTCCAGAGGATTTCGAAAACATTCTTATCACCTTGAAAGCCATTGGAAACGCGGGTCGCCCCGTTGCTGCCGAAAATGTCCTTCTGAAATGCGCCCTTAACCCAGATGTTCCAGTCAACATGAGCATCGCAGCTCTAGAGGCTTTCCGACGCTTGCCCTGCAATGAAGAAATGACGGATCAGATTTTGCAGATCTATGGCGAGTACAATCTAGACGTTGAGATCCGTATCGCAGCGTACCTGGCACTCATGAAGTGTCCAAGCCCAGAGGTCTTCAAACGCGTTGCCGGTATCCTCAAGAACGAAGTTAATAATCAGGTGGGATCATTCGTGTGGTCGCACATGACGAATGCCATGGATTCGACCGAACCAGTCCATGGTCTGCCTCAGGCCGAGATGATGAAAGACGCACTTAATGGAATGAAGCTGCGAGAGTTCAATCTGAACAGACTGAGATTCTCACGTGCATGGGAAGGGTCATTCTACAGTGGTAAGATAACTGTGCTAACTTCCTATTACCCAACCCTAACTAAACAGGAGAAGCAAGTTATGAAAATGTAGGACTTGATCAACTTGGTGTTTTGATGCAAACTATAAACTCTCCCATGGACAAGCGTTGTAAATAGGCAATGCATTTGGCAGCGCGTTTTAAAGCCAACGAAAAGATCCAACACAGAGTGTATCCTACAAACAGGGCCCATTGTTCAAAAGGATTTTATGTAGCATATAAAACAACGTCGTGACCTAGCTTAGGTTTAAACCAATAGCCATGATTGTTACACCGCGTTTAATGCGCTGTACACGAACTCAATGTAGCCATTCGAGAGATTTAACTAGAAAACGAGGTCAGTTTTCGTAATGATCTTGGAAACATGGTTTACACGAACATTGTTGTCTGTCATCTCATAATTTTATTATTCTTGCACAACCTTACAGATGTCCTGAGATTCGGCGGTTCAGCGCAGAGCCATCTTATCTACCATCCAAACAGCTTTTTCCCACGCAGTGCCATGGTCAACTTGACAGTGGACGTGTTGGGTGCATCAATCAATGTCCTCGAGGCCGCAGCACGCTTTGAAGGATTCGAGATTCTCATTGAGCAGATGTTTGGAGAAGATGGTTACTACCCTGACGACCGCATCATGAAGATGTTCAACCTGAAACCCCACGAGGAGAGGGATAAGAAGGAGAAATCAGTGAGAAATCTGCCACTCAGGAGGACGAGGAGCATTCATGACGACATCAACAAAGTAGAGAACCATTTGAATAAACTGCACCGAAGGGTAAGTCCGGGAAAACGCTTCTGGGACTGGCGAATACTGGAGAAATAAAGAGGCTGTCTATGCTTTGCAACACACCTCTTAAAAGGTTAAGAAGCAAACATTATTACCATAATATCGTAATTTATTCACGACAACAGTTCAACAGGATGCATGTCGGGAATCTTGAATCGATGTTTTTCAATCCTCTTTTATCATCATGTAACTGTTTCCATAATAATCCATAATTGAGCGGGAATTTTTTGCTAAAAAATATTGACCTGAGAAGGAATGCAAGAATCACCCCGCTGTGACTTGATCTAATCAATTCGTAATGCGTGATGCGTGACTTCCTTTCTCCTTTGTAGATGGACACGAGAAAGCATAATCCATCAGGAGCCGTTTCTGTGAAGATGTTTGGTAACGAAATGAGACTTGCCAGTTTCGACGACATCAGCTGGTTGAATGACGAAGTGGACAAAATCAACATGATTGACATCTTGATCGCATTGGCCAAGGGAGGCAAGAAGAGTTTCAGCAAGAGCATGATGTTCCTAGACGCCGAGACTACTGTCCCCACCATCCTTGGTCTTCCACTCAAACTGAGCGCCAAGGGAACCACTGTGGCCGCGGTAGAACTCGCTGGAAAGTTTGACATCAGGAACATGTTCTGGGGAAAAATGAACTTTGATGTACGAGGCTACGTCAAACCAAGGTATGTCTTCGGAAAAGTTACCAATAATACTTACGAATGCTTCTTTTACCTGGTCACGTAATCCTTTCACTACATTGCGTAATAAGCTAAAAATAACCCCTGTTTATAGCTCGGACGGCTGGTAACGCAAGACGTAAACGACTAGATACTTTATCTCACAGTAGAATTGCACTACACAACTTTTGCAACGTTTAATTTGGCATATTCCAAAAGCGCTCCTATACTTGCATGTGTAATACTGTCGAAATTTAATAAAAAAGGAGTACATAGAAGTTGTAGATTAATTGATATAAGTCTCTTACTTCTCCTACATTTATTATTTGTAATGCAGACAGCGAGAGTGAACAATGTTAATAACTAATAGCCGAAATTGTTATTTCGCGTGTGACAGTCTCTGAGAAGAGTTTATATTTCGTCCACGGGGATGAGGACCCTTCAAGTATAAACCAAGTCAGTTATGATGGAACCTTAAACTCGATGACCACATCCATATTACAATGTCTAGTTGGCTTGACAAGAGTTCATCCAGCTACTGACTACTTCCTAATAATGGCCGGTGGTGGCAGCCTAATTTTGTTCAACTCTATCTCATTTTTCGTGGTGTTTTTCTTTCCTGTAGTGCCGTTGTTGACATCACTGGTCGCATGGGAGTCAGCGCTTTGTACGCGGAGGCTGGTATCTTTGTCAACTCATCTTTGTACACTGTTACTCAGATCAAAGGAAACGCCACTTATACTCAAGGAGAAATCTTAAAGTTCGAAGTCGGCGTCCCTGAGGAGCCAGTTCAGTTTGTCAACGTATCGTAAGTACAATTGATTATTTTTAGAGCTTATGATAAACGCAAGGAATTCAGCCACAGTATTTTGAGTTATTTTGTCCGCGATTAAAAGAATCTTTAAAATAATAGTTGAATAAGACAGAAAGACACGAGCAAGGATGATAAAGGATGGAAAAGATTAACACTGATTTAATACAAACAACGAATTTGAAAATTTAGGCTAAACGTTTCACGATGCGTTAACCGTGACGTAGCTCCTTTACTTTCATTGCAGTTCGTCGCTTTTCACCACTCTCAACGACGAGAAACTGCCCATTGAAGGAACACCAAGGAGGATCGAAGTAAGTTAATAATTATGTTGTATGTCACTGTCTCCGATTTGTTGTTGTGTGACACTGTCTCAAATTTGTTGACAAAGTGTAAGTAGTATTTGCTAGCGAAACTGTAGAGTTCATGGTTGCTTTTGGATAAAGAACAAAAGAAACAATGTAAAGATACTTGAACCCGCGATGTCAAGTGTTTTGCTCTATTCTCACATAGAGCCTATTTCTGATAGACACCTTTTGATTTGAGAGCATTGAAAATTCAAATTTGTCTGTCTTGAAGCTATCGTTATGTATGCATCAAGACAAGTCGTTTATGCATTGTCCCTTTAAGTAACCTTGGTAACCATAAACCATTTGATTGTTTCTTACAGCCAACACCTTGCCTGAACATGACACGTGTTCTTGGAATAACATTCTGTGGTCAACTCTCTCTGCCGTTGGGTTATCGTGACTACGAGTCGCCATTCTTCCCGTTCTCTGGCCCAGCTTCCTTCAGTCTGTCGATGCAAAGAACGGATCCTAAGCTTACGAAATATCAGTTGATAGCAGAACGCCTGGAAACCGAGGATGACAACAAATACGATGTTATCGCCAAAATGTCTACTCCTGGAGCAATGTGGGAGCGGAACTTTGAGGCTAACGGTACATTGTGGCTCAAGAAAGACGGCAAACTCTTCAGCATGTCTACCGGTGCTGTTGGCGTAAATTTTGGCAAGTTCGAGGCGACTTACAACAACATAACGCACGCTGTGAACCTGACGTATTCCGCCAAAGACGTTGTCTATGGTCACCCCATCGTCCTAAATGGTCACTTTTTCAACAACACGGAACTGAGTGGCCTCACCCGAGAGCTTGGCGTTCAACTGTCCGCATCGTACAAAAACTACACCATCAAGCAGCTGACAAAGCTCTACAACAGGTCAGGTGTGTATGGCTTCGTCAGCAATATGACGTACTGGACAGGCAAGTATCTGTACGCCTCTGGAGAACTGAACATCCCCAAGAAGAGTGTCAGCTTCCTGGCGAACCATACCTGCACAAAGACAGAGGTCAGCTTCAATGGTAATCTCGGAGAGGAGGAGGACAACTTCGTCTTTAGCTTCAGCAACGAACCAACGAAGGCTGGAATTGAATTAACAGGCAGACTTCTCAAAGCTCAGAAAGAAGGTGTTCTCCGCTTGTTTGCCCGTCCACGCGATCAGTCATTTACCCTTCGTGGATCCTACGCCAAGGCTGGAGACGAAAAGGGTATCCGTTTCACAGCCAGCCATGACAACAAGAACCGTGTCATCAGATGGTACACAGGTATTGTCAACGCAACCAACGAGAAGTCCCTAAAGACAAACGCCACGGTGCTTGGTAGCAAAGCAGAAGCTGTTTGGACGTACTTCAACCTCACGCAGAACAAAGGAATCAAGTTCCACGGATTGCTCCTGAACAAGTCCATGGACGCTGTATGGTCTTACGTTAACATTGGTCAAGAGAAGGGGCTGAGGTTCAATGGAAGAGGTTTAAACAAGACCATAGAAGCAGCTTGGACATTGGTTAACCTTACAAGCGGAAAAAGCTTAAAGTTCAATGCAACTGCCATCAATAAGACCATCGAAGCGTTCTGGTCGTATGTCAACGTGGGCAAAGAGAAAGGACTGCGATTTGACGCCATGGCCTTGAATCACACCATCGAAAGTGCTCTTACCTTCCGCAATTTCTCAGACGCAAAGAGCATCAAGCTTAATGCAACCGTTTTAAATAAGACCTTGGAGGCTGTGTGGTCGTATGTCAACGCTGGAAAAGAGATAGGATTGTTATTTAACGTCACTGCCTTGAACAAAACGGCCGAGCTCATGTGGTCCTACTTCAACCTCGAAAGCAAGAAAGGACTTCGTTTGAATGCTTCTGCCTTAAACAAAACCATCGATGCCACCTGGACTTTCATCGACCAGAGTACTGAGAAGAGTTTGGTGTTCAAGGCCATTGCTCTAAACAAGACCATCCATTCCACATGGAGTGTCCTTAACTTGCCAAACGAGAAGAGTTTGATTTTCAATGCTAGTGCTGGAAACAAGAGCATCAATGCCACTTGGTCATTCCTAAACTTGGAAAACAAGAAGAGCTTGAACTTCAAGGCAAATGCTATGAACAAAACCGTTGATGCCACCTGGAGCTTCCTCAACTTGGAAAACGAAAAGAGCTTGAAATTCCAGGCAAGTGCTTTGAAGAAGACCGTTAACGCCACGTGGACGTTCCTTAACTTGGAAAACGAGAAGAGTTTAAAGTTCCAGGGAAGTGCAGTTAACAAAACTATGGATGCCACGTGGACCTTCCTTAACTTGGAAAACGAGAAAAGCTTGAAATTCCAGGCAAGTGCTTTAAAAAAGTCTGTTAACGCCACTTGGACGTTCTTTAATCTGGAAAACGAGAAAGGTTTGAAGTTCCAGGCAAGTGCAGTTAACAAAACCGTCAATGCCACTTGGACCCTGCTTAAATCGGACAACCAGAACAGTTTGAAGTTTGAGGCCAGCGCTCTAAACAAGACCATAGAAGCCAGGTGGACCTTCCTCAATTCACGAAACGAGAAGAGTTTGAAGTTCAGGGCTAGTGTTCTAAACAGGACAACTGAAGCCACTTGGACCTTCTTTAACTTCACGAGCGAGAAGGGTTTGAAGTTCAAGGCCAACGCCGTTAATAAATCCATCGAAACGACCTTATCGTTCCTGAATTTTGCCACTGAGAAGAGCATCAAGTTTAACGGATCTGCCTTAAACAAGACGATAGAGACCATGTGGACCTTCATTAATTTCAAGAACGAGAAGCTGATCAAATTCAACGCCACTGGATTCAACCGAAGTGCCGAGGCCTTCTGGAGTTACTTGAAGAAGGAGAATGAAAGTTCCATTAAATTTAATGCTTCCGCCATGAGGAAAACTGCTGAAGCTGTCTTAAGTTACGTGAAGACTGGAGACAAGACAGCCATCAAATTTAATGCTTCTGTCTCGAACAAATCTGTAGAAGCTATCTGGACGTTCCTGAACAGCAAGAATGAGAAGGCTATCAAGTTCAATGCTTCAGCCATGAACAAAACTATTGAGACTGTCTGGAGTTATGAGAGGAGCGAAAATGAGAAGGCTATCAAGTTCAATGCTTCAGCCATGAACAAAACTATTGACGCTGTCTGGAGTTATGTGAGCAGCGAGGACGAGAGAGCTATCAAGTTTAATGCTTCAGCCATGAACAAGACAATCGAGGCTGTCTGGAGTTATGCAGGCGACAGGAATGAGAAGGCTATCAAGTTCCATGCTTCAGCCTTGAACAAAACCATCGAGGCTGTCTGGAGTTATGAGATAAGCGAAGACGAGAGAGCTATCAAGTTCAATGCTTCAGCCATGAACAAAAGTATCGAGGCCGTCTGGAGTTATGCAAGCAACAAGAATGAGAAGGCTATCAAGTTCCATGCTTCAGCCTTGAACAAAACCATCGAGGCTGTCTGGAGTTATAAGATGAGCGAAGACGAGAGAGCTATCAAGTTCAATGCTTCAGCCATGAACAAAAGTATCGAGGCCGTCTGGAGTTATGGAAGCAACACGAATGAGAAGGCTATCAAGTTCAATGCTTCGGCCATGAACAAAACTATCGAGGCTGTCTGGAGTTATGTGAGGAGCGACGTCGAGAGAGCTATCAAGTTCAATGCTTCAGCCATGAACAGAACTATCGAGGCTGTCTGGAGTTATGCAATGACTGAGGACGAGAGAGCTATCAAGTTCTACGGTTCCGTCGTGAACAAAACTCTTGAAGCAGTTTGGAGTTATTCGAAGAGTGACAATGAAAGATCCATCAAGTTTAATGCTTCAGCCTTGAACAATACTGTAGAAGCCTTCTGGACGTATTTGAAGAATGGGGATGAGAGAGCCATCAAGTTCCATACCTCTGCCGTGAACAAATCAGTTGAAGCTGTCTGGAGTTACATGAGGAGCGAGAACGAAAGATCCGTCAAGTTCAATGCTTCAGCCCTGAACAAGACTATGGAAGCTGTCTGGACCCTGGTTAACCTCGATGGCGAGAAAGGACTCAAGTTCAATCTTGCAGTTATGAACAAGACCATGAATACCTCTTTAGTTTATTTCCGTAATTCAGCTAGCACGGGCTTACACCTAAACATGAAATGCTGCAACAAATCGTTTGACCTGTTAAGCAAAATCGTCTTCCAAGAGAAAGAGAGCAAGCTTGTCATTAGGGCTGCTTATCAGAATTCCACTGTCGCTCTTGTTGGACTCCTCCAGAATTCACCTTCGCAGAAAAGTGCCTGCATCTACCCCGAATACCGCGGTCAGTCGCGTGGGAAAATATGCGCTGTTTTCACAAATAGCTCGGCCGAGAGGAGCATGGCCCTCAACTTGACCGTCCTTAACCGAACTGGTGAATTGAAAACACAAAGGTTTGAGGATCCCATGTGTTGTGGTATTCGTCTGACTGCCAAGTTTAACAAGACAATCTTCTTCGAATCTTGGGTGAGCTCCTTCCACACCGACGAGTTGAAGAGCCTCCATTTTAATGCAACAGTGGTGAACAAGTCAGTCGGTGCGTCACTCTACTTCCGCAACGACACTGAGAAAGCAATCGGATTTAACGCCACCGTTTTCAAGAAGCAGGTCGGCGTGGAAGGCGTCTGGCTCAACGGCAAGACCTTGAAAGAAGCTGCTGTTGTCCTGTTCTGGAACAAAACTATTGCAGCCAAATCATCTGTCATGTGTTTGAACACTGCTCACCGTAAGATGCTCGAGTATCGCGTCCACATTGGTCGCTTTGTTGGTGAATGGCAGAACACCCTTATCACCAAGGAAACGGGCCTAAAAGAACTTGTCATGCTCCGTATACTTCGAAATGGAAGTCAAAGTCTTTTCTTTGATAGCTCCAAACTTACGTACTCCAGAGCGGAGAAGAGTCACGAACTCGGCTACCAGTACATTGTTAAAACGATGGGCCGCACCTTCGAGTATGGCTGGGATGCTTCTTACAACAACTACTCCAATGCTGAGGATTCTTATCATGAGGCCAAGGTATCGCTGATTTACACCAAGGGCAAGGAGGTTTCACTGACTGGTATTTATAGAAACACCTCCGAGGAACTCTCCAATACTCTTACCGTCGAGTACCTTCCTGAAAAAACGATGACACAATCTCTAATCTGGTACAAGGAACGCAAGTCCGTTGATGTCAGAGTCGAATTCATTCCAAGAAGACCAATTACATGGACGACTAGCTGGAACACTTACGATGGTCTGTCAGTAAGTAGCATCGTCTCCGCTTTCGATAAGAAGATTGAAAATTGGCTTCAATACAGCAAAAGCACAGGGGAATACGAAGGCCACTTTGAGATCTTCCCCGCTTTTCCTTTGGAAGTTAGAGGTGTGTTAAGCAGAGAACACGGTCTGCTTTTCACGACGGAGATTGCAGCCTTCAAGAGGACATGGAATCATAAGATCGACTTAAAGTGGGACGAACAAAAACTTCATCTTTCGATTGACGTATTGCCTAATGCACCAGTGGTTCTTGACGTTAGTTGGGACAATACTGAAGGCATGGGAATAGTTATGGATTTGAAAGGGTTTAAGAAGTCACTTTCGCTGGCCTGGGAGTATGACAAGTTAACGAAGTCCTTCACTTCTGGCGTAACGATCTTCAAGCGAACACTAACATTTACTGAGAAGCTGGACATGGAAACCAAGACACTCTTCTTGACATTCTCAGCATTGAAACGTACCGTTGGTTTCTCCGGGAGGTTCGACTGGAAGAACTATATCGTTAGCACCTTCGTCAGTTATGAAAATCACAAAGCAGGGTGGTTCCTGAGATTTAACCCCTCTTCAAGAAGCATTGTCTTCAATGTAACCGTCACTCCAAGAATCTCAGGGCAGGTTGTCGGGGAGATGCCAGATGACTATCGCCTCCAGGTGACCATCCAAAGCAAATTTGGTGAGAATGTGGTGAACGAGTCTCGCCTGATGTACCTCTTAAACGCTGAGGCAAGCCGTCTTTCGCTGACTTGGAATACCTCGACCATAACCACGCTCATGAACCGAGTTAAACTTCTGAAGACGTTAATCAGAAATGTAACCCTGAGGTACTACAATCTGACAATCCTTATGGGGCAAAACCTTACCAAAGAGGTCCAAGTGCTTGTCAAGAAACTCGAAGCCAAGATCAAACCTGTCGTTCTGAAGTTGTACGCCCAAGTCAAGAATTACAACTACACAGGACTGCTCCAGAATGCCACAATCAAGGCCCAGAACTTGACGCAGAGTCTTTTTAACGTCACTATTCAGACACTCAATGACACCATCAACAGGCTTCCAAAGATGATGGGTAACGCCACCGAACTTTACAAGAGAATTCGTCTGAACGTCACAATCGCCTACAAAAGGTTCCGCACAGAGGTGCTTCCACCCATAATTGGAAATATCACCCTCCATCTAAAGAACATCAGCCGAGATGTTAGAGTCTGGGCCAATAACGTATCCATTATGGTGAGCACCGTAACGGTTCGTGGAGAAAAACTTGGGGATATCGCCAAGCGCGTTTCCAAAAAGGTTGAAGTTACTACCGCAGAACTTGTCGAGAAAATGAAGGTGAAGACACGCCAGCTAATCATCAAGATGCGAGAAGTTGAGATCCGCGGACAGAAAGTAGGCCCTCTGTATGATAAGTACATGGTTGAGGTAAAGGAATTTACATGCAACTTCAATGCTTCTTGCACCCTGAAGAATGTGACCATCATTGCCAAGAACTTGACGCTGATTGTTCGTAATATAACTGTTCTAAACAAGACCCTTGGGGAACATTTCTTGAGCGTTCGTAACATCACTGTTCTAAACAAGACACTCGAGGAGCATTTCAAGCTGCTGAACAGGACCTTCCGGGAGAAGTTCGAGTTGCTTAACAAGACTGCCTGGAAGAACATCAAGATTCTCAGGAAGAAGGCCTGTCTGATCCATCAAACAGCGTTGAATTTCACAAAGAATTTGACCAAAGTTCTTCCCAAGCTCATGAGAAATGCTACCATTCAAGCCATTCATCTGGCTCGGAACGTGACTCAACAAATCAGGACCATATACATTCGTGTCGGGAGGGTGTCCTTGGTTGCTTACAGAAAGTTGATGAAGACTCACCGCCCTCTCATTAAATTTGGCAGAAACATTTTCATCTCAGTGAAGGAGAAAGCGTATCCTTTGGTACTTAAGGCTGTCACACCCATTGGCAAGTTTGCTGATGATCTGAAGAGCAACGTCACAAACTATTTGAAGCCTATTGTCAAACCGCTTGTTCCCATGGCATTGGATATAATGTACCAAGTACGAAACATCACGATTCGTCGTGTTCCCATCGGCAAAGCGCTGGATAAGGCTGTTCTTCTTTCCCTGGAGATCGCATCGGAGACGCTCACATCACTCAACCACACTCTTTACAGCAACATCTCCGCTGTCATTACATTTATCAGCGACCATTCACAGAAGACACCAGACGAGATCGTGGATTTCGCCATTGGAAAGAGCTTTGAGTACTTTAACCTCTCCAAGAAGATCTTGAATCAGTCGATTGAACTTGGATTTAACCTGAGCCGACGCGCCCCTCTGATATACAACAGGTCTTTAATAGCCCTGAACAAGTCTCTCCAAAAGCTTCTGAAATTGCGTCCTAGGGAGATCATGGACATTTCCATCAAGAAAATCCAAGTCCTTGCCAAAAATGTCTCCGCGGAGGTCTTGAATGTTACAAAACAACTACGCGCCCTCGAACTCATTCGTCCCATCAAAGAAGCGTGGAAGAAGATGGATCTGAAAGGTAAACTAGAAGCCTTGGAACTTAAAGCTAAGTGGGAAAAACTGCTGGCGCGCGTTCGAGCTTTTAACATTACGGAGAGAGCACTCCTTGCGAAATACCACATTGGAAACGTCACAGTGAAAGTACTGAAAGAGATGCAGGACATAACCAACCTTACGCAGCGTGTCTTGAACCTTTCAAGTGATCTCGTCCTCATGAAACTATCCAAAGAGGCCTTTGTGAAGGAATTCCTCGCCATTGGAAACCAAACAAGGAGCGTTTTCGTCAAGTATGGAATATTGGCTAAGAACATCAGCTTCGACTGCCAAAGAAAGTTGAGAAATGTTTCGTACGAAATGGCTGGCTTTTACAAAAACATCACCGTTAACAAAACCGTTGAAGCTTACAACATGGCGAAGACGTTCGCGTTGGCGTGTTACAACGAGCACAAAGAAGAAGGACTTAAGATGTACAACCTGTACAAGGAAATGTTGGAGAAGATCTATGAAGACACGAAAGAAAAGGCCTTGGAAAAATTCAACGTCTATCGGGAAAAGCTGACAAACAAAGTGAATGCATTGATTGCTAAGTTGCGAGAGTACGAGGACATGACGTACGAGGAGATTGTCATCAAAGCTTATGAATTTTCCAGCAAGCACGGACTGGCTCTTTACAAGAATGTCACCCTTCGTGCGATGAAACTCTACAAGAATGTGACCGTCCAAGCAGTGAAACTCTACAATAACATCAGCTTCCAAGCAGTGAAGTTCTACAACAATGTCACTTTAAAAGCAGTGAAGCTCTATAAGAATGTCTCCCTCCAGGCACTCAGACTTTACAAAAACGTCTCCTTTCATGCACTCAGACTTTACAAGAACGTCTCCTTCCATGCACTCAGACTTTACAAGAACGTGTCCATCCATGCAGTGAAACTTTACAAGAACGTGTCCATCCATGCAGTGAAACTTTACAAGAACGTCACCTTAGCTGCAGTGAAACTTTTCAACGATACCAAGAATGCGACGTTGAGGGCGTACAACTTGACCCTTGTCCTGGTCAACCGCACCAAGCTAATGGCCCTTCAGTATTACAACGCGACTCGTAACTTGACACTGCACTACTACAATCTCACCCGCAAGTACTCCCTTCAGTACTACAACTTAACTCGCAACTTGACTCTTCAATACTACTACAAGTTCTACAACCTGAGCCGCAACTACACGCTGCACATCTACAACGTGACGCGAAATATCACTGTTGGCGCCTATAACAAGACCCGTACTCTGGTGCTTCGAGGAATCCGTTACGTAAACGTGACTGTTGTGCCTTTGGTCAAGGAAAACTACCTCAAAGGCAAAGTTTTGGTGCTGAGATATGCTGACAAGACCGTGTTGTTTGTGAACCAGAACGCTCAGGCTCTTAAAGTGTGGTACGATGAGAACAAAGAGAAGACCATGGAGGAGCTGTACTACGAAGCTTATGAACTGGCAGAAAGCAAGTTCAGCGAGGTCAGAGCGCTCGTAGAGAACAAGTATCATGAGAATAGAGAGATCATTGAGAAGAAAATAAAAGAAACCATCAAGGACGCCAAAGCAAAGTTGGAGGTTAAAGTAGAAGAATGGAAAAAGGAGCTGAAAAAGCTGAACAAGACCGTGATGATCATCACAGGAGAAGCCATCTCTCTGTACAACCAAACCGCCAACATCACTTGTATCGCTGCCAAGGACCTTGCTGCTATCTTCCATCCTTATGTAAAGTTGATGCACAACCAGACCATCTTTTACCTCGTCAAAACCAAAAACATCTCTCTGCCACTTCTGGAAAAAGCCATAAACATTTCCCTGCCACTCCTGGGAAAAGCAAGGAACATCACTCTGCTGAAACTCAATGAAACCAGAAAGTTTTTGAACGACAGCTTTAAAAAGATCATGGCCCATAAAGACATCCAGGAGTACATCCAGAAACACCAGCTCAAGGAGCGTTACGCCAGGACTGAAAAATTCCTTAGTGAGAAGTACAACGAGATTGTTGAATATGTCGAGCAGATGAAACCCAAAGTGGAGGCTAAGGTTAAAGAAGCTATCTTCTACTTGAACGTAACACTCCCAGCCCAAATCAAGCAAAGGTATGCTTTGCTCAAGGAAAGGTATGATTTCCTCGAGAAGAAGATCCAAAAGATCATGGCTAACCCGAAGGAATTCATCGAGAGACTGTCAGAGAAGGTTCTGAGGAAGATCAAAGCCGCCATCAAGGATACACCAATCGAGGAAGTCATATATCATGAAATGTGGGTTGAGCTTATTGAAGAGGTTCGTCAACACGAACTTGTTGACGCTGGGCAAGGTGTTGTAAAGTATTCCTCTAGTAAGCTGAGAGTGGCCGTTCAGGTGGCACTGAAGAAGGGTAAACTGATCGTGGAGAAACTTATGGACAGGAGTGAATTGATGGCAGAGAAGATCAAAACGAAGGTGCAGGAAACTCGCGAGAGGTTACTTGAAAAGTTTGACCAATTCAAGGCGATGAAACTCCGTGAAATCGTGGAGCACGAGTATGTGTTCAAGACCATTGACTTGGCCAGAAACGTCACTCTTAAAATCAAGAACATCACGTTAGAAGCTAAGAACTTCACGCGCAAATTTGTGGCCATTGGACAGATCTATTACAAGAACATGACTGCGAAAGTTAAGAACTACACCACGATTCTGAGGGCTAAAGTCCAGAATTACACAACCATTCTGAAAGCGAAAGTCCAGAATTACACAACCATTCTCAAGGCGAAAATGCAGAACTACACAAACTTGCTGAAAGCACAAGTTCAGAATTATACCATCCTTCTGAAAGCACAAGTTCAGAATTATACCATCCTTCTGAAAGCGAAAGTTCAGAATTACACTAATATAGTGAAAGCGACTCTTCAGAACTATACAAAGATCCTGAATGCAACAATCCAGAATTACACAAAGATTTTCAATATGACAGTCCAGAAGTATACAAAGATCCTGAATGCGACAGTCCAGAATTACACGAAGATTATTAAAGTGGCAGTGAAGAACTATACCCTGATTCTGGGAGGTCACTACGAACGCATCTACAAGAGTCACCTCGCCCCATTATACAGAAATTACACCAGGCTGGTTAAAATGTACAGAGCCATTGCTGAACGCTACATCAATCGTTACAAGAACGTGACCTTGAAAGAAGTTATTGCCATTGCTCGTAACTGGACCACAGAAAAAGTGAATCTTACCCGTGTGTGGATAAACAGGACCTTGGAACGCGGTATGAAGTATTGCAGAAACGAATTGGAAAGATGCATGAAGTTCTGTAGAGAAGAACTGAAGCCTTTGTACTACAGCAAAGTCCTACCATTTTATAAGAACACTATTGTACCGATGTACCACAACTGCAGCAAGCTAGTAAAAGAACTGAAGAAGAACATCACGGAGAAGGCACTCGAGTTGAAAGAGAAGGCACTCGTGTTGAAAGAGAAGGCACTCGAGCTGAAAGAGAAGGCATTCGAGCGTGCAAATGACCTGAAAACCCGTGCGATGGATATGTCAAGACAAGCGGTCCAAATGACACTTGACAGCAAGCCATATGCCATGCTTCGCAAGTTCGGCAAAATGACAATCCGCGAGTCCATCCTTGAGGGACGTGCTCTATGCATCCGTGCCTACAACTTCACGTTGAACATGACTCGCCTGGCTGTTAACGTGACGCTGGAGGAGTTTAACAACACTAAGCTGCAGCTGATCCGTGCCTTGAATACAACACTACTGGCTTTAAATACAACCCTGGACAATTCCAAACCCGTCATTAGCTTCTTAAACGCAACGCGTGTGGAGGTGATAAAGACGGCAATCTTCATCAGCAAGTACTATGGATTCGAGGATGCTGTCAAAGAGCGAGTACGCAGAGGTTTTGACATTACTAGGAACATTACAATGGCAGTTGTCAATAACCATGGTCCTCGCTTGCTCAACGAATTGGCAATGAAGACTTCGGAATTCGTCAACACTACCATTGGATATGTTAATCGCACCGTTGGATACCTCAACGTCACCTTCATCAAGATAACACGCAGATTCAACAAGACCGTCCACGGTGTTCGTTTGGTTATCAACAAAAGGTTCGTGGAAGCTCGTGATGCCATGAACAGAACCATCCAAACTGTCCGCACTGCTGTCAACAGAACCATCCAAACTGTCCACATTGCCTTCAACAAAACAATCCAAACTGTCCACATTGCTTTCAACAAAACAGTCCAAACTGTCCGCATTGCTGTCAACACAACAGTCCAAGATGTCCGTGTTGCCTTCAACAAAACCATCAACAGAGCTTACATCTCAATCAGTAATGCTGGTATCACGATTCGCAATGCTCGTATTGCCGTCAAGAAAACCATCACTGACCTCCGTGCTGCTATTCCCAAGTACATCCAAGTGACAGACGAGGGCATTACTGTTGTTTTCCCACACCCAAGACCCTTTGATGGAAGCATCAAGTCGTTTGCCTTAGCCTCGGTGGAAAGAGTGAAAAACCTCAAGCAAGATGCTCTTGAGAAGATGGAGTCTTTGAAACAGGAAGCTGTGATCAAGATGAAGTCTCTAAAACGCGAGGCTATAATCAAGTTTAAGTCCATGAAACGGGAAGCCCTTGAAAAGATGGAAAAAATGAAAGCCAAAGCTTTGGAGAAGATTGAAACATTGAAAGCCAAAGCCTTGGCGAAGATGGAAGAGTTGAGAGCTAAAGCTTTGGAGAAGATGGAAAAGTTGAAAAAGGAAGCTCTGGAGATGATGAAGTCGCTGAAAAAGCAAGCTGTGGTCAAGATGGAGACGTTGAAACAGAACGCAATCCAGAAATTTGATGAAGTTAAGGCAAAAGCAATCGAGACCTTTGACGAAGTTAAGGCCAAAGCAAAGAAGATGTCTATCCGCGTCAGGACTATCGGCAAAGCGTGGGTTGCAGTAGCCATAAACAAAACAGTTTTCTATCGTCAGAAGACGTACGGCTTCGTAATGAAGTTTTACAACCTGACAAGGAATCACAATCTCACTGGCAAGTACATCAACACAACTCTCCATTACTTGAACATCACCAAGAACTTGGTTGTCTTCTACCGCAACCAGACACAAGGATTCCTGATCAACGCATACAACCTGACGAAGAACCACCCTCTTACAAAGAGGTACGTTAACATCACTCTTCATTACTTGAATATGACGAAGGACCTCGCCATTGCCTATCGCCAGAAGACTGGTAGGTTCGTAAGATTCGTAAGAAGTGGTTACAGACATATCAAGAATCACCCCGTTGTTGCACGGTATGTTAACATGACTGTCCATTACTTCAACATCACCAAGAACTTCGTTAAAAGTTTGAACATGACGCATGTAAAGAATGTCACCGACAAATACCTGTCTCGGGCGTTGAACTTGTCTCGTCACTGTTACAACGTTACCAACAAATACCTGTCTCGAGCTTTGAACATGTCACGCCACTGTTACAACGTTACCAACAGATACCTATCTCGTGCTTTGAACCTGTCACGTCACTGTTACAACGTTAGCAACAGATATCTATCTCGTGCCTTGAACCTGTCACGTCACTATTCTAATATCACCAAAATATACCTGTCTAATGCTTTGAACCTGTCCCGCCACTGGTACGTTGTTTGTGTGAACAAAACACTCAATATCTCTATTGAAGTGTACAAAGTCGCTGAGAATGTCACACTGGATATTTACAACTCAAGCTGTCTGGGAGAGGCAGTGGGTAAAGCCAAGAACTACTCCAAGATTGCCATCAACGTCACCATGAAGCTCTACCTAAAGGCACTGAGTCACGGCAGGAACGTTTCAACGATAGCTTTGAACAAGACCCTCAGACTATATCGAGATGCGTTGCTCAAATCCAGGAACTTCACAACAATCGCTTTGAACAGGACCCGCGAGCTTTACCAGCGTATTTACAACAAAACCATACTGGTTGTTTACAACACTACCATGGTGAAAAAGTATCTTCCGATAGCTTTGAATCTTTCTCGTCAGTGGTGCAGTATTGGTTTTAATGTCACCAGGAACTTCACCGTTCAGGCGTACAAAGTAGTTGCAAACGTTACTCTCGATATCTACAACTCAACCTGTCTGGGAGAAGCCCTGGGTAAAACCAGAAACTACTCAATGATTGCCTTTAACAAGACCTTCAAGCTCTGCCGTATTGCCTTGAACAAGAGCTTCAAGCTCGGCCATCATCTTTACAACAAAACCGTGGTGATTGTTAAGAACACGACCATGGTAAAGGTGTATCTTCCAATAGCACGCCAATGGTGCGTTTTTGGCTTGAATACCACAAGGAACTACACCGTCAACGCGTACAAGGTGGCGAAGAAGTATCTTCCAATAGCCCGCCAGTGGTGCTCTTTTGGTTTTAATACCACCCGAAACTTCACCGTTCAGGCATTCAAGGCAGTTGCCAACGTCACTCTGGATATCTACAACTCAACCTGTCTCGGAGAAGCACTGGGAAAGACCAGGAACTACTCAATGATTACCTTTAATAAGACCCTCAAGCTCTGCCGTATTGCCTTTAACAAGAGCTTCAAGCTCGGCCATCATCTTTACAACAAAACCATGTTGATTGTGAAGAACACGACCGTGGTGAAGAACTATCTTCCAATAGCCCGCCAATGGTGCGTTTTTGGCTTTAATTCCACTAGGAACGTCACCGTACAGGCGTACAACGTGGCGAAGAAGTATCTTCCAGTAGCCCGCCAGTGGTGCTCTTTTGGCTTTAATACCACCCGAAACTTCACCGTTCAGGCATTCAAGGCAGTTGCTAACGTTACTCTGGATATCTACAATTCAACCTGTCTTGGAGAAGCACTGGGGAAGACCATGAACTACTCCATTGTTGCCTTTAACAAGACCTTCAGGCTTTGCCATCATCTTTACAACAAAACCATGTTGATTGTTAAGAACACGACCCTGGTGAAGAAGTATCTTCCAATGGCCCGACAGTGGTGCGTTTTTGGCTTAAACGTCTCAAGGAACTTCACTGTTCAAGCGTACGAGGTAGCCGCCAATGTTAGTCTTGATATTTACAACTCGACCTGTCTACTCGAGGCGTTGGGTAAGACCAGAAACTACACCAAGATAGCTTTCAACGAGACCCTCAAACTATGCAGGAAAGCATTGAATCTAACCAGGAACTTCACGATAACAGCTTTGAACAAGACCGTCCATTGTTACCGAGAAGTATTAGCTAAGGCCAGGAACTACTCGATGATCGCTTTCAACAGGACCATCCAGCTTTGTCAACGCCTACAAAATAAGACACTGAGCATTGTTTACAACTCTACCCTAGTCAAGAAATGCCTTCCAATGGCTTTGAACTTCTCTCGTCAGACAATAAGGATGGTTCACAACAGTACTATGGTCAAGAAATACCTTCCGATGGCTTTGAACGTCTCTCGTCAGACCCTAAGAAAGGTTTACAATAGTTCTGTGGTCAAGAAGTATCTTCCAGTGGTTTTGAACTTCTCTCGTCAGACCATAAGGAGAGTTTACAACTACACTATTGTCAAGAAATATCTTCCAATGGCTTTGAACATCTCTCGTCAGACCATAGAGATGGTTTACAACAGTACTACCAAGAAATATCTTCCAATGGCTTTGAACTTCTCTCGTCAGGCCATAAGTAGAGTTTACAACTGTACTATGGTCAAGAAATATATTTCAATGGCCTTAAACATCTCCCGTCAGACCATAAGGATGGTTTACAACTGTACTACCAAGAAATATCTTCCAATGGCTTTGAACTTCTCACGTCAGGCCATCGGGATGGTTTACAATTGTACTACCAAGAGATACCTTCCAATGGCTCTGAACCTCTCTCGTCAGGCCATGACGATGGTTTACAACAGTACCATGATCAAGGAATATATCCCAATGGCTTTGAACGTCTCTCGTCAATGGTGCAGTTTTGGATTCAATGCTACGCGAAATTTCACTGTCCAGGTGTATGAAGTCGCGCTGAATGTCACTCTTGATATCTGCAATTCCACCAGTTTGCCACAAGCTTGGAGTAAGGCCAGAAACTACTCAGGAATCGCCTTTAATCAGACCATGAAGATCTGCCTTAAGCTGTATCGTGGAGTCTACAACGTGACTTTGCAGAGATGTGCTGAGCTTCGCAACTACTCACTAGCGCTGTACAAGAAGATTCGTGAACACGAAACAACTGTGAAGTTCATGACCGATGCTAGCTCCTATCTCGAGCACTCCAAGAAGATGATGAAAATGCGAGTGCGAAACCTGCATGGAGCTAAACGGTACATGCAGAAGAGGATTAACCACCAAGTGTCGCGAATGTCCCACTTGCTGAACCCCATCAATTGGATTCCACCATTCAACAGTAAGTTTAAATCGAACATCTTTTTAAATTGATCACAAGAAATTAGTAGAAATTCGTCACTTTTTTTAACATGACTACAGCAAGTTTCATTAGCAATTCCACAGAGCCACAAATTACAGTAGCCAGAGAGTGTAGTAAAGCACGTCTTGATTGGCTAAGAGGAGAATCCCCTCGCTCTGATTGTTTATAACGCGTCGACTACCTTAAAAGCCGTTCAAGAACGCTCTGTTGACCATGTTGTGATTTTCATTTTCCACAGGCACGGCCATGATCTTTGGCGGACCTCACGTGTACACCTTTGATGGAACCTACTACACCTTCCCCGGTTATCAGAAGTCCGGATGTATGTATGTCCTAGCCAGAGATGTCCGTGATAACAAGTTCACCATCTTGAGTCAGGAGACCGCCATCATCGTAGTCACGGAGGACTCGAGCGTGAAAATCCACCAAGACGGCAGAGTAGAGACAATCGTGAAGGTTACCTCGTCTGGCAAGAAGCTCTCCGACGGTTACCACAGTGAGCTGCCTGTCGAGACGTTCAACACGACGATCCAACGAGAAGGTTCCTTCATAGTGCTTCGACACGATTTGGGCTTGGAGATCATCTGCGATGTCGAGCATTTCTTGTGTACTTTCAACATCGCCAAGTGGTATCATGGAAGAATGGCAGGTAAGACTTCAACATCAGTTGAATCTTAAGTGAAGTGAGGAATACAGACGTGATCGAAAGAAGTGTAGATCTAACCAAATGGGAATTGTTGCCAATTCTTTTATGCTGTAAGAAATGTTTTAAGATGACTGAAGAGAACTAAAATTATTCCTTGACATCAGGGCCGAAAAAGGCTAAATTATCATACGCCATCAACCAGCGCTATACAAAAGAATGACCAGTGAATGTTCCCCGTTGGTTGGAGTAAGGAGAAATTGAATGTTGACATTAGAATTTATAGGGATAATACATTTATGCTTCATCAATTCTCCCAACTTGTACTATAAAAAAGTATCGAGACCAGTAATGAGAATTTGAATATTAACATTAGGGTTTATCGGAGTTATGGCTTATTCTCAATTGGTCCAATGCGAAACCTATACGTCATCAATTCTCCCAACTTGCACTATAAAAAAGTATCGAGACCAGTAATGGGAATTTCAATATTAACATTAGGGTTTATCGGTGTTATGGCTTATTCTCAATTGGTCCCATGAGAAACCTTACATATAAATTAATTTATTTGTTGACCTTCGTTAACTTGTTCCTTAGAAGGCAACTTAAAGCACATCCCGCGTACAATTCCTACATTCTAATGTACGTTTTTCCGGCAGGTCTTCTGGGAACCAACAACAACGAGTTCCATGATGAGATGATGACGAGCTACAACACCCCAACCTCCAAACTGACCGAGTTTGTGAACTCTTGGGAAGTCACTCGTGATCCACAATGCAAAGTCTCTACACTCGAGAATGAGAAACCCAAGTGCAAGGAGAGTACCTACATCCAGCGCTGCCGAGCATTGTTCAAAGACAAGAACTCTCCACTCAGTCACTTTTCTTCAGTTGTTGACCCCGAGCCATTCGTCAAGGCCTGTGAGCTTGACTACAAGGAATGCGACACCAGCACGCCTAAAGACATGAAGCATTGTAACACAACTGCTGCTTACATCGAGCTCGTTAGACTGCAAGGAGTATGGGCCGAATATCTGCCTGAGTGTGGTAAGTGTTAATGATTTTAATCTTAATCATTAACTCGACTTGCGAAGACGTATTTTTCAGATTTAACCCCTTGAATTTAGTTTAAGGAAAGAAGCTGTCTTGATGTACAAATGGTAGGCTTCAAAAAGTACAGTTAAAGAAAAACTAGAGCTGTCCGCGAGCAGCGAAACAATCCGATGAATGGCTGGTAACTGACGCATCGAGAAAACCTGAATGACGAACGCGACGTCAATCAAAATGCAGTCTCACGACAACTACAGCAGCAATAATAACAACAAAATCAGGAAGAATTCAAAAGTCACTAACAGTCTTCCTTTGTTAATTGCCTATAGGTCGTTGCGGTGGCAAACAGATCGGTCAAAGATGGTTCCAAAAGGCAGACAGAGCGGTGGATGTTGTCATTCTGGTGCACGAGATCTCGATCTTGAAGAGCTATGCAGAGAAGCTTCCAACGTTCCTGACCAGTTTAACACAATCGCTTGATTCCAAGTTCTCATTCCGCTTCGGCGTCATGGGATTCGGTGGTCGCTTGTTACATGAGCACCCGCATGCCATTACACTTAACGGTCAGCTGATGAACGACTTAGCCAGTGTGGAGCTTGCGTTTGAGCATCTCAAATTCGCTGGCGAGAACTCTGAGAATGACACTGGTGATGCTTTGGAAGCCATGGCGGCCGCTGCTTATAGATATCCATTCAGACCTGGTGAGTGTTGTTAAGAAACGCGACGTTGCCTTGTTTTGACGGCGCGTTATTGGAATCGGAATAATTCAACGAATATTTGCCATAAACTAACTCTGAATCCAGGACGACATACTTGACTTCAAAATCTTCATTTTCCCTACAAGTATGCTAAACAACTTTCGCGTTTCTTCCGTAGGTGCTACCAAGATCTTCCTTCTGCTGACCAGCACGGACCGCAATCCATTAGCTGATTTCGCTTCCCTTGAGAGTATCAGCAACATGCTGGAAAGCAAGGACATCATTCTCAACGTCATCGGCAAGTACAGAAAATTCCGTGGCGAGGTGATCGGACAAAACTTCAGAGGAAACGTGTTCTACAGAAAGAAGCCCGAAACAGGAAGCGGCGCAGCTCCCCTACCAGGAGGCGAATACGTATCCCTGATGAAAGCTACTAAAGGATCTGTCTTTGGTTTGCCATTCTTGGGTTCAGAGAATAAGGATAAATTTGGAGCTTTACAACAGGCCAGTGCAAGCGCGTGGAGAGAACAAATCAAGCGTGATCAGTACATATGCAAGGAGTGTTTCTGTGCACGTGGAGACGCCGGTCAAGGCAAGACCATCTGCAAGAAGAACTCGCTCCACAACAAGTGCTGAGGGAAGCAGGGATGGTGAGTATCAAGCGATATAACGCACCAAAATATATTCATGTAGAAACGGGGGGAGACAAAAGGAGTGTAAAATCCAGAACAAGGAGTTTAAGCATTATTATTGCCTCAGGTACTCAGGCCAATCAGAGTGAAGACGCTGTACTTATCGGCCAATTCGGCGCAAAACTGAAGCCACTCATATGTATACGTTCCCGCGCTTAGGATAGGTTATGTTTTCCAGCGCGTATTACCCGTTTCATGTTTTTCCCGCGATGGTTGTCCGTTACTCGTTTTCCCGCGCTTTTCACCCGTTTTAAGTTTTCCCGCGCTTTTTATCTGTTGGGTTTTTAGATATCATTGCATCCTCTACTAGCGCAGTGAAGGACACAAGAAGTTCTTATGCTCATACTTTTATTGTAGCTGGCTTTTTTGGCTCATTCAAAACTAAAGTTTTCCTTTCTTTTTCGTTTCAGACAATTCCTGTAAAGGCCAGTGAAGTAGAATGCCCAGTTTCGCCCACTGAACTGTACAAAATATGTTTTCGTTTTGTTTTCATGTAGTTAGAAACAGCATTAATAGAACATATAGAAGTTGGTTGAAGTTATCGCCAAGTATTGGTAATTTACAACAAGCGTTAATTTTATTCATTGAGAATTTACACTGTTTTAATAAAAAGATTTAAGCCTTATCACAGTGAGCCTTCTTGGTCCTAATTTCTTTCGAAGAGGCAGTTGAGGCACGGACATGAGTACGATAAGTTAATATTGGGCTAGCTGGTTACGGGTAGATACCTGGCCTTAATTCCTCCGTATTTAGGCAATATGACAATTGAAGTATAACGTTATTTAAGTCAAGTCTATTTTTCTGGGACAACCAGCTATGAATTTTTATGAAAATCGGAACATTGATTGTTATCAGCCCGACCTCTCGTGCAAGGGCAAAAACTGATATTTGTTTGATCGGTTTCGGTTGTTAGAATTGTAGTATTTGGTTTTATTTTATTATATATTTTGCGTTGTTACTAGCGTTCGTAAATGAAGAAGGCAGACAAAAGCGCCCGGTGGGTCTACCTTTTGATGAAAGAACGCAACTACAGCAGCGTGTTTCGGGGGGGATTTTAAATTAATAAAAAAAGAGCATTAAAAAAAGTGCACCTATTGTATTTAATTTCTACCGGAAAACTTTGTTCTCTCTCTTACCCCAGCACGCAACATTTTAAAAGAAACATTTACTTATGGTGTTTAACGTGTTCTCGCTTTCATATCTAACTAAGTTTTGCGCCCTCCTACCCGTGTATCGGGAGCTAATGAAGCCGAAGTGACCTCATTACTTAGTCCCGAGCTTCTGCTACCTTCCACAGTCGCTGTTTGAATATAGCATAACTCTCATCTCTGATGGTTTCTCCCTTTCAATCCCAAGCAAAAGAGTCCGTGTTCTTTAAAATGGGAGCTACAAATCATTGATCCCTGGAAAATTTCTCGCTTGTGCCCTATTAATAAATTCCATTATTCCCTTTAAAATTCGGCAACGTTCCCTTTCATAGTAGAGATATTCTTTGCTCCCTCAAATTTATCCCAAAAATATATGTTGTTCCCAAGCCCCTTAAAATAGTAACGCCCACTTGCATTTTCTATTCATTAAATTTTGAAACTTCTTTTGATTCCAAGATTACAAAAGTTATCGCATCTAACTGGGACATAAAAGAGTTCTTTTTATTAAATCTGCAAAATATAAGGGAATTGAAGTAGACATTTTCACCTTGTCTCTACTTTTACCTTTTAAAATCTGTCGACAATCTTGAGTAACTCTGTGCCAAGAGCTTACCCGTTAAACTTTACGTGGTTTGTTTCTCGGATCTTGGAATCCTTCCTTGTATACCAAATAATGCTAGAATGTCTTGTTCAAAGTATTGTTTAAGCAGTGTCTACTTCGGGTAGGGGACTTTATCTTTCTCGGCCGCTTTGCCTCCACCATACTGGGCCCGTTTGACCCTTCTGGGGCCCATTTTGGGGCCCATATCTTGAACGAACATAGTGCACCGTGCTAAAGCGTGCTGTCCACGGCCGGTCCCGGTTTACTAGCTAACACATACAGTGTGTTTTTTGAACAAGCCGCTTAGTTTTATGCCCATTTTTACTTGCCGCTCTCCCGCCTTTGAGCACCTGGAACCTTTGTTTGTTCTGAATTACTCAAAGTAACACTATCTCCCAAGTCGGTAGGCTCGATTTCCGCCGCTTTCTCGAGTCCGGTCTACGTTCCTCCCCGAAAA